AGCGAGGAGCGAGGGGCTCTCGGCTGAGCCATGCCGGCCGCACGCGTGGAGTACCTCGCGCCCTGGTGGGTGGTGTGGCTGCACAGGGTCCCGCACCTCAGCCTGCGCCTGCAGTGGGTGAACAGTACCTTCAACCCCCGCGATGAGGATTACCGGGAGGTGAGTCTGCGCCGCCCCAGACCCGGCCACCTCCCCAGCCGACCACTCTCTGCCAGCCTCCCAGACCTCCCCCTCCACCGCAGCCCTTTCCCTCCACCCTCCTCCCCTTCCCCCTGGACCCTCAGCGCTCGGCGCTCCCGTCTGGGAACCTCGTGGGCCGGGAAAACTGGACATGAGGAGTTCAATCAGTGGTGGGAAGGGGAGGAGGGGTGCGGAGGCTGCCTGCGGGGGTGGAGCTGAGCGCGGAGGGGGAGGCCCGCGAGGGGCGGGGTTGGGACCTTTGTGCCAGAGCCCGGGTAACTCCTCCGTGCCCGACTCCGGAGTTTTCCTTCTGGGGCTTCAAGAAAAGCGCTCTCTTTCTGGGCGACCTGGGAGAAGTTTGGGCAGAAACTAACTGGAGTCTCCCCAGTTGGGCCCGCAGCACCCCTCCCCTGTCCCGGCCCACAGGGTGGGAGCGGCGGCCCACACCTCTTCCTGGGCCATCCTGGAAGGCTGCGGGGCTGGGGGCGGGGGCGAGGGTCCCCACAGGCGCGGGGATGTCTGGAGGAAGGACGGTGGCCCGGGTCAGCCCCATCTCGCCAGCGTCAGCCTCCCGGACAAACACCCTTCTATACCCTGGGTTTTCGGGGTCTTAGCCCACCACCTCCCTTCTCCTTGCACTTCTGCCATTTCTCTGTTGTGCTGGCCCTTCGCCCTGCGGTCTCTGTACCCCACAGGGGGAGGGGTACCCCCCAGACTTCCCCGCCCAGGCTGAGCTACAGAAGCTCCCCACCTTCTCAAGTCTGGCCTGGCCCAAGTCAGTGCTCTGCTGGGTCACAGATTCGGGCTGCAGCCCTGGCGGGGCCCATTTGTTCAGAGCTATGGGCCCATTTCGGGACTTTGACCCCCGCGGCCTCCGCCTGCAGTCAGGTTCTCGGGCACTGTTTCCGGTGTGGGGCCAGTCAGGCCTGCAGGAGGCTGAGCCTGGAGCCGGCTGTTCGCCTCCTGCCCGCCGGGCCTTTCTCCTGCAGGCCTGGGAATGGGGATCCCCACCGGCAGGTGTGCAGTGTAAGTGGACTGGGAGTCTAATAATAACCCCTGTGGCTTCCCCGGCCCTGCCAGAACCCGGAGAATCTGGACCCTCCCGGCCTGGCTCCCTTCCCTCCTAATCTGCGCTTGCCCCGCCCTCTCCGAGAGCCCCGCCCCTGGAAGTCAGGGTCCCTGAGAACGCCTCTGCCTGGGGCAGCTCTGGGGGATCCCCCGCCCCCACTGAACGCACGGGGAGAGGCGGATATGATTTCAGGGACAGCTGTGTTGCGCTGTGTGTTTGTCCCAAACCCTGCGTCCCACATCCTGCACCTGGGATCTCCCACCACAGCTTTCTCCTCCCGGCCCGGCCGGGGAGATCTAAACTCCTCTCTGGACCAAGCAGCCCCGGGCGGGGTGGTGGGCACTCCCTCACCCGCAGGCTCCCAGGGACAGCACGTGTGTCCAGCAGCCCTGACTAGCACGGCCGGAGCCTGCCCACCCCCTCAGTCCCATGGAGAGGTGGCGTCTGACCAGAAGGCCCCACTCACAGCCCTGCCCCTCTCCTCCCAGGGTTTGGACCTGGCACACTGTGCTGGGTGTCAAGTGACTCCAGAGGGCATCCCCTTCCCCTGGGCCACTGCTCCTGGCAGCCGACACACGGCCCCACCCCCGTGCTCCTTGTCCCAGTCAGGCCTCCTGAGGACACTGGGTGGGAGATGAGTGGGATGAGCTCGGCCAGGGTGGGCAGTGGCTCTGGCTGTCATTGAAGGTGGGTCCCATGCGGTAAGTTCTGTTGTCGGACCACTGTCTCCCCCAGAGATCCCCTTTCTCCTGAGAGGCAGTCACAGCCAGAGTCAGGCAGCAGGCGGCTAGCACCCTGGATTGGGCACCTTCTGCCGCCACTCATCTCGGCGCTCAGCAAACTTGATCCGAAACAAGCTCTCTGCCAGCCTCGGGTGGCGTGATGACCAAGGCAGCCAGGGCCGGGGCCGGGGCTCCGCCGTGCAGCTGTCCGGGTTGGAGTCCCAGTTCTGTCGCTTACTGTGTGACCTGTACCTCTCTGAGCCTCGCTTGTCTCACCTGCACGTATTAGGCCAGATGTCCCATGCAACATGCTTAGTACATAGAGGGTCCCATAGCACATAGTAGGACCCCAGACACTGGTGAGCTAATGTACTGAAATGCACTGATGTCTTAGGCTCCACAGTGCTGTGCAATGCTCACTGCTGCTACAGTCACCGTGCGGGCGCCACGAGCGCTTCCTGTCCCCGCTCCTGCATCAGCAGACCAGCGCTCTCGGGACACGCATGAAGAAGCAGCGGTGCTTGTAACTGTATATTCGGGACCTGCATGAAGCAGCAGTGATATTTTTGTGCTTCGGCATGTACTTTCATGTCTTAACTTTGGGTGCTTCTGCTTATGGACTCCCCAGAGGGTGCCAATGTGTGGGCGCAGGCCAGGGGAGGGGGCAGAGTGGGGGCTAGACCCAGAATGACAGGCTCACCCCACTAACCCCCTCTCCGACTTGGGGGCAGGTCTCAGGGGGAGAGGCCAGGCAGGGAGCCAGGAAGGGTTTGGGCGAGCCAAGGTTGGGATGAGGAAGCACCATTCATCCAGCCTAAAGGTTGAGTCATGGTCATCGGACAATCACGCTACACCCCCACCACCCCCACTGCGCCCCGGGAGAGGGTGGGAGGGCAGGCTGGGGGGTGCTTAACCCTTCCCAACCCGTGGGCTCCAGCTGCCCCAGCCTCCCCGCTAGGCTGGCTCACTCTGTCTCCTATGGTCTGCGGGTAAAGGGGGCTCAGGCTGTTACCCGGCCCCCTGAGTGCAGAAGCCCCTGGGGGTCCAGTCCTAGCCTCAGGATTCCCAGAATGCAAGTGGGTCACTGCTGCCCCCAGCTTGGGGCCTGGATTTCTGCTCTGGGTTTCTCAATCCAGAACTCACCAAAGTCACTTAAATGAGGAGAGGCTGGGACCGAGGGGCTGTGGGCAAGGTGTTGGGGTGGGAGGGGAGGTGGTGGCTGCAGGGCACTGGGAGGGCGGGTGACATGGGAAATTGTCCTGTCCAGGCTGTCAGAGCAGGACGGTGTGTGAGCCGAGCTCCTGGCTCCCTCTGGGCCGCTTTCTCCCTCTTCCATCCTCCCTCACCCCGTGCACATGGGGACCTGCCGGCTGCTCAGAAACAGGACTATAATTGCCTGTGAGAGGCCGGCAGGGACACGGAGGTGGGGAGGTGGCTGTGGGAACCGTCCTGCTGGTTAGCCCTCCACTTCCCTCCTCCTCCTCCCGCACCTTCCTCCTTTCCTCTTCCCTTCCCACCACCTCCTTCTCTCCTAACCCTCTGCCCCATCCCCCCTGTCCTCCCAGCCCAGAAGTAAACCACTAACAATGCCCACCCTCTGAGTTTGGGCTTCCCAGCCCCGCCCCCTCCTGCCCCGGGCTGACTGCATTATCTGTGACCTCATTGTGGCCAGATGCCCAGCTCAGAGAGGCCCCCAGCCCAGGCCTGCAGCCTCAGCCTCTGACTTTCAGAATTATCTCCCCCTTGGACCTGAAGGGTCCCGGCATCTCCCCCACCCTGCTGATTGCCGCCACCAGCATGGGGTCCCCGAAACAAACTCTGGTCCCAACAGCTCAGACTGGAGCCCTGGGGGTTCTGGACCAGGACCCACTGGGGGGCACGTGGGAAGCTGGGTGAGGCTATCCCCTCAGGAGCCTGACTGACAGCCAGGTCCAGCGCTGGCTGGCGGCCACCAGTCCTGGTGCCATCTGGCGTCCATCTGGCTGCATCAAGAGATCGGAGGGCATGGAGTGGGCACAGGCCTCCTGGCAGACAGCAGCTCCCTTTACGGGACCCTGACTAGGCCTGAGTCAGCACCTCCTACCCCTTCAGAATTCTGGGCTTTGCTGCCACCATTGGCACTGGGGTCGCTGTCCCATTCAGGATACGGTGAGAGGGACCCCATGGGGTACATCCCGACATCTCCCCTCCCCTAGCACAGTGCTGGCTCCTGGCTTCTCTGGATGGACCCGGCACCTAGGACAAGGCTCGGAGGAAGCAGGTCCGCCAGACCATCCCTTCCGGGGCCTGGCCCCGGTCCCACTGAACCCCTGAGATGTGCCTCTCCCTGCCTGTCTCCCTCAGTCACTTGTCACCCTCAGCCCTCCCTGCCAGCAGGTGCCTCCTGCCTTGTGGGGTTCTGAGCGTCTCATCGGGCAGGGCCTCATCCGTGTCCCTCCAGGCGTGTCAGCCACACACCCGGGGCTGGCCTGCCGCCGCCCCCCACCCCACACCTCCCCTCAGCGGGTCCTCCCCGACCCCCCCAGCACCCGTGTCTGGAGGAGGGTGGCAGACGCACTACTGGGCCTGGTTCCTACACCCACAGCCCTGTGGGCGCTCCAGGCCCGAACGCAGGGCTCTTCCCAGACCCGCAGTAGGACCAGCGCTGACTCCATGGCTCTCCCTCTGCAGTCGCTGCTGTTCCTGGGGCTGGTGGCCGCCGTCTGCCTGGCCCTGAACCTCCTCTTCCTTGCGGTTTACCTGGTGTGCGCGTGCTGCTGCAGACAGGCCAAGCAGCGCAAGTCCTGCTGCGTCACCTGGTCGGCCGTGGTGGCCGGGCTCGTCTGCTGGTGAGTGTCCCTCCGCACTGGCCTCATGTGTGCGGCTCGGGGCTCAGTGTGCAAGAGGGCGAGGGGACGCGGTGGATGGGAAGTGGGCCTGCCCACCGCGTCTTGCCCGTGGTTAGCCCATGACCGTGACACCCCTTCCTCACTCTCCATCATCAGCCCCCCAACAAACCCCAAGCGGCGGGTTCATCAGCTTTCTGGCCACGTCCTCCTGATGGAGCTCTGGGTACCTCATGGGGAGCCTGTCCCTGGGTGAGCGTTGTCCCTTTTCCTGCCAGGCGGCGGGAATCCGATGCCCGGAGAGGTGATGGGGCCTCGGGTGTGCCGCTCCCCCTGCCCAGCAGTTTATTGGGTGGCACACGCGAGCAGAGGGCACCTGCTCTCCGAGTCCCTGTCCCCTCCCAGCCGCTGCCTTGAGTCTGAGGTTAGAGAAAGTCTGACTCCAGCCCAGATCAGTCCATCTTCTCGCAGAATCAGTAGCTCTTAGTGCCCCAAAGACTCTTCTTTCGGATGCAGAAGTGAGGGTTTCTAACTTCAGGCCGGAGCCCGGGCTGCCCGGCTGTGTCTATGCGCTCCCCTGTGTAGCTGGTTGCGTTATTCTTGTTTTCAATCTCCAGGGGTTTTTCCAAAAGCCTCAGGTCTACCCTGAGACCTCCTGGGTGGCCACCCTCAGGGGATAGAGTCCCGTAATGCTTAGTGTCCACTGCATCACAGAACCCATAGCGGAGTGATTCCGGCAGGAGGGCATGCAGACGGGACACCGTGAGCCTGGGAGTGAGGATGTGGGTTCTCACCCCAGGAGCCTCACCTGTTAGGGCACATTCAATGTCCAGTCCTGCCTGCAGCGACGCAGGGGTGACAAAGCGCTGAGCACATGGGCGGGGCCTGGGCTGGGGGAGACAGGCGGCCAGGGCCCAAGTCCTAGGCGTAAAGGAGAGTCCAAGCCCGGGTCAGGAGTTTGCAGGCGCCTGGGGTCCCCGCAGAGAGGAGCTCCTTCAAAGTAACCATGGCTCCGGCAAGCTGCTCCTGGGACTGAGCCCACAAACGTGAGCAGGAGAGGCGGGACGTGAGACAGACAGTCAGACAAAGGAAGTGCTGACGCACAGGGGGCCCTGACTTTTTAAAAACACGACAAAGGACAGAAGAACACTATGGAACAGTAAGAATGACTCCGGAGGTTCAGATCTCATAACCTGCCGTTGAAGGGAAACTACACAGGAGCGTGCAGTGCGCTTGGCGTGTTCTACACGGCATTTGTGCCGGGCAAGAGGGAGCCAGTGGTGAGAAGGATGGCACTGTACCGGGAAGGGCCCAGCCCAGCCCACACTGACACATGGGCACACGGCTGGCACCCTGACCTGCACTTTTTAAAAATATATATATATTTGTTGATTTCAGAGAGGAAGAGAGAGATAGAAACATCAATGATGAGAGAGAATCATTGACTGGCTGCCTCCTGCACGCCCCCCACTGGGAGCCTGCAACCCAGGCAATTGCCCTTGTCCGGATTCGAACCTTGGACCCTTCAGTCCCCAGGCCTACTCTCTATCCACTGAGACAAACCAGCCAGGGCCTGACCTGCACTCTTAATGGGAACACTGAGCTAGGGTCAAGGCACCTGGAAGGTTCCTGTCACAGTCTCCCAGGGTTCCATCCTAGCTCCTGTCGTGTTTGTAGAAAGAGGAAACATCATGCACGTATGCATGTGTGTGTTCGTCACCCCACCCCCAGGATTACTGTTTTGAATGAAAACTCAGGAGGCTCCTTAATGAGGCTGCTTATGGCCCCCAGGGGTGTGGGTGAGAAAAATGCCGTCGGTGACAGAGGCGGGATCTGAGATGATTTGTTCCGCCTGGAATGCTGGACCAAAACCAACCACATGAAATTTCACAGAGATAGAGTCAAAGCTCTACTATTGGTTCAAACAAAACAAACACCCATTCAGCGCTGCAGAAGGAGGGGGGCTGGGCTTCAGGGCAGGTCCTGTGGAGAAATCCGGGTGCTTGTGGAGCACCAGGTCAGCGGTGTGGAGAGGGGATCTCAGGACATGAGCGTCCCCTCTGCCTGCCCCCCACCCTGTGCTCAGAGCTGGGTGGACAGCCTGGGCACCTCACTCAGGCCATGTTTGGGGGCAACACTGATCAGTTATAGTGGAGCCTAGAGGATGGTGAGGATGTAGACAAGGGTCTGCAGGACACGGGGCCGGCCTTAGGTGTCTGACGGGGTGTCTGCAGGATTGGAGGCTTATTCCAGGCCGACATAGAGGACCCCGAGAACTAGCGGGGGCCTGGTTCAAGGAGCGGGGCTTGGGCTCAGTATAAGAAGGGACTTTATATAGCTGGAGTCACAGCACCAGAGCTGGAGGATTTTCCTGCTGCCTCACTGCCCTGTGCTGTGGAGCGAGGCCACCAGGCCAGGGCCAGGCTGGCCCTGAACCCACCCCGGAGAGAGTGCCTCAGCTAAAGTCAAAACCCACTTCTCTCCCTGGAGAGACCAGCTCTGTTCATAATCATCAGACCTGGAAGCAACCAAGACTTCCTTCAGTAGATGATGGGTAGATAAGCTGTGGTCCATCCAGACCATGGAATAGTACTCAGCGCCAACAGGACATGAACCACCCGGCCAGCGTGGCTCAGTGGTTGAGTATCGACCTATGAACCAGGAAGTCACGGTTCCATTCCCAGTCGGCACGTGGGTTGTGGGCTGGATCCCCAGTGTGGGGCGTGCAGGAGGCAGCCGGTCAATGATTCTCATCATTGATGTTTCTAACTCCCTCTCACTTCCTCTCTGAAATCAATAAAAATATATTTAAAAAGAAAAGAGAAATGAGCCGTCAAGCCATGAAAAGCCACAGAGGAATGTAAATGCATGTTAGTAAGTGAAGGAAGCCGATCCGAAGAGGCTACGTGCTGTGTGTGGTTCCCACTACATGACATTCTGGAAAAGGCAAAACTACGGAGGCAGTAAAATACCAGGGGTTGCCAGGGGTTGGGGGTGGGGGATGAACAGATTGAACAGAGGATTTCTAGGGCAAGGAAAATGCTCTGTGAGATACTTAATGGAGGACGCATGTCCTTATACGCTTGTCCAAACCCGTAGCATGTTCCACCCGAGAGTGAACCTAATGCACATATGGACTTTGGGTGATACGATGTGTCCATGTAGGTTCACCAGTTATAACCAATGTCCCGTTCTGGTGGGGGGTGTTAACTGTTGACAGTAGGGGAATCTTGGTGGGGAGGGCGGGGTGAGGGAGGCAGGAGGTATATGTGTAGTCGCTGAACTTTCCATTCAGTTTTGCTATGAACCTAAACTACTCTAAAACAGTACATTAAAAAAGTTCTCTGGTGCCACCTCTAACTTCATCTGGGGTCTTGCCCATAGTGCTGCGGTGGGCGTTGGTTTCTATGGAAACAGCGAGACCAACGATGGGGTGTACCAGCTGATCTACTCCTTGGACAACGCGAACCACACCTTCTCCGGGATCGATGCGCTGGTAAGGCTCTGGGCAGCTGGCCGGGCCGGGCACAGTGGGTGAGGTCAGTGTGGTCAGAACAAGGGCCCAGTCAGATCCCGCCCGCTCGGCCCCAGGGGAGGAGGGCGTGCTGGACTCCATTTGGGGCTGCAGTTGGTCCTGCCAGGAGCAAACAGGCAACTTCTGCTTCCCGGGCGGGAGGGGTGCCAGGGCTGTGAGGGCCAAAGGAGGAAGGCTGCTGGGCCCTGTGGGGGCGCGGGGACAGGGTGGGGTCAGATCCCACTCATCTTCAGGAGAGCTGGACACCTTCCCACTGGGCCAGGGAGGCCCTGCACTTGGAAAATGAGCCCCACGGTGTTCCTGTGTTCATATGTGGAGTATCATGAGGTCCAGGAGGTGTCAAGGGGAAAACTCTTCATAAGCAGCCAACCATGAAAGGCACGCCCGGCTGGGCGGGGCGGTGAGCTGCCGGGAGAGGCGCGATGCCCTCCGGCTCTGGCTCCCGAGTGCCAGACCCCTCTGGCCCAGCTGGGGCTCAGGGTGACGGATTGTGCTGAGGTGGCCAGAGATGTCGGACTTTACGGAACGGAGGAGCTGCTCTGCTGAGCCTTTGGCCTGAGAGACAGCAACGGGAGGGTGGGGTGTCCGGGTTTCTCAAATGTAGACCCTGGCCCCCAAGTGTGCCCACCTTCACTGGCAGGGCCGGGTCACGTGGGCTGATCTTTCAGGCAGCCCCACGGCAGCCCCGGCGCCCGAGGAGGCAGGCTCCAGGGCAGTTCTCAGGGAAACCAGTCCTCGACGTCACGCCGTTCCAGGCCCCTCTGGCCCAGCAGAGGGTGACCTCCCAGGTGGCCCATTCGTGTCAGAGCCTCTCCAGGAAAGGCCGCCCCAGCCGCAGCCTGGAACATTGTCCTGGGCTCCGCAAGAGGATGCTGAGGAGGACGCACCTCCGTGCCCTCCTCCCTTAAGCTCCTCTACGGCCTTAATCCCTCCGCCCTTCCAGGGGCTCCCCTTAAAGAGACAGCTGGGCTGCTCATCAGTGCCCCGTATGGCAGGGGCCATGGCTCCAGCCTCAGAGAACTTTCTGGGGAGCTGAGGGTCACCAGGACCCAGCTCCCCTGCAGAGCCTGTCCGTGCACACCTGTGCCCACTGGGCCCCGTCCCCGGGGACTGCGAGCTCTGCACACTGGCTGGGGCAGCGGGGCAGCCTCGTGGCTGATGCAGCGTGACCTGCACAGGAGGCCTGGGCATGACCCTGCTGCAGAGAGCTGACCTCTGCCTGGGGGTCCATGGTCTCTGCCTCTGGGGTCTTCCTCCCCCGCTCCACACACCAGCATCCGGAGCCTGGAGGAGGAACCCAGCCCCGAAAGGAGAGTCCCGGCCAGGGAAGGCCCGGAGCCGTGACCTGCACTAGCTGAGGTGACTGTAAGGAATGGCCCTTGTCTCCCGTGGGCGGCCGGAGGAAAGGAGAAAGTCCCAGAGCCTTCCCGATGGGACGCTTGAATTCTGTCCTGGTCTCGCGGGAGGAGAGTGGCGCTGTGGGGAGATGAGCGGAACAGACCCAGGCCGGGCCCACCCGCCCAGCGAGGTTGAGTGCTGGGGGCAGGTTGGCACATTCACAGCAGCCCCACGTCCCTAAACTCCCCCACGGTCCCAAGGGGAGCCTTCTGTGTGTCCCTGGGGGTCAGCCCCTCATCCTCGCTCCACCGTTCCTCAACAGTGAGGACAGGACCCCAGGCTTTGTGGCCCAGCCAGCGGAGCTGCTTCCATCCTGAGGACAGCCCCCTCCTGCCTCTGAGAGACCAGAGCTCTCCTGGGGCCAGGCTCCAGGCCTCCAGGGCTGGTTTGGGCCTTGAGGGAGGGGTGGCACCCAACACTCCTGGTACCGGTACCGAGGGCTCCAGGGGAGGCAGCAGGTCTCCAAGGGCTCCCAGATCCAAGGGGTGAAGGCCACACATCAGATAGGTGGTGTTAGCTGAGGTGCTGTCCGCGAAAGTGCCTGGTATCTACAGAGCGCCCTCCAGATCGGGGTGCCTACGATAATGAGTGCCATTATTATAACTGCTGTAATTATGTATATTACTGTAATCACCTTAAAGGGGAGAGGAGGCTTGAATTGGGGGAGGGGAGGACTTGAGGAACAGGTCAAGTGACTCAGAACGGAGCCAGAGGGAGCCAGAGCGAGGTGGGCCCTCCCGGGCTCCCTTTCCTGGGCCAAGGCCCCACGCTGGTGCCACTGAGGGAGGGAGTTGGCGGGAGGGAGTCGGGAGGGGCCGAGGCTCCAGGCTCAGGCTGGCCTAGCAGGTTCTGGATCAGCTAACGCTCTGATGTGGGGGGTCATCCAGGGTCATTTGGGAGTGCCCATGGGTCTTTCCTCTGGATCCAGTGCCCCCATCTGTGCCCCAGTGAAGGGGGCCTGGGCTCCAGTTACCCAGGGGACCAGGCCCACCTCTCACCCCTCAGAGGCTCAGCTTCAAGTAAGGGCCTTGGGCTCTACCTCCCCTGAGGCCCTTTGGGGCCAGGGTGCTTCCTCTGCTCTCACCTGGGCTGCAGCAGCCTGTGGGCAGCGCCAGGTGGGGAAACTGGGCCCAGGGCGGCCGCATTCCTGTCCCAGGTTGGAAGCTAGCACTTTCAGAGCAAGAACTAGAACCCCGGTGTCTGGTCCTCACCCTCCCCTCCGAGGACCTGAGATGGGGCTCCTCCCCCGAACCTTCCGAGGCTCCACCCCTTGGACTCCTAGGGTCTGCCCTTCCAGAAAGCTCTTTAAGGAGAGAAGCTTCCCCCTGGGGAGCTGGATAGCCTGGAGCGCTGGCCCCACCCGTTCGGATTCTGTAGGTCTGGGTGGGGCTGAGCATTTGCGATTCTAATGAGTTCCCAGCTGCTCACCCTGATGCTGCTGCTCTGGGACCACAGCTCCATCCCATATCCTATGGGACCACAGCTCCATCCCATATCCTATGGGACCACAGCTCCATCCCATATCCTATGGGACCACAGCTCCATCCTATATCCTATGGGACTATAGCTTCCACCACCTGCTAACTGGCCTGTAACTCTGCCCCAGCCTGGGGCGCTGAGCTGCCTCTGCCCCCTCGGTGGCGGGGAGCTATTCAACTCTGGAGTATCCCCCCCCCCCCCCGCTGCCTCCTGCTGGGAGCTCTGTACGGAACCTCTAAGGAACTGGGGTGGCGTGGAGAAGGGGTGCTGCGGAAGGTCGGCGCTGTGGTCTTTATTTTTGCATTGTTCTGTTTCCTACGAGAAGACAAGAGGAAGGAGAGGGCTGGCAGCTAGGTCCTGGCTTTTGTCTTTCGAGGAGGGGTTTAAGAAAATAGAGAAGTTAAAACGTGGAGCTGTGGCAGGGGGAGAAGTGGCCTCAGCTGAAGTTTACAGATCATTGTCACAGCCCTTTGCTGTCACGTCTGTAATGCAGGAACGTGAGAATACCACATAGTTCACGGCTTGTGTCTCCCGCTGCATTTAATAACGTGCCTGCGATGTGCATGTACGTTGATCTTACCGAATTAAAAAGGACAGCTTTTCGGGGTGACGTTTAGTTACTGTGTTTACTTCCACGTGGTTTTCGCCCCGTGTGAGGCTAAAAGCCGCCAAAGCCCTGAGGGGTGGGCATCTCTGCACTCCGCACCGCCTAATCCTCAGCCAGCGTGTGAGAACCGGGAGCTAGCGGGGAACCAACCAGCCGCGGACATTGAAAAACAAAACAAAACGAAACAAAGAGGGCCTTTCTCCTTTCTGGAACAGGAACTCAGAGCACAGAGCCGTGCAGATGTGAAGGCCGCCCCCCTAATCAGGGGAGTCATCTGCCTCTCCTGCTGCGCTCCGGCTGTGGGAAGCGCCTGCCCCTTCTTCTGGGTCATCTTTAGCTTCCTTCCAGGCCTGGGTTTCACACACTCCCCCTTCCAGCCGTCGTGCTGGTTGGGTTAGTGTGACGATCTCAGAACAGCCCAGCTCTGCTTCCCCTCACGGCCAGCACCCCTGCCCCTCCTCCCCCCAGCAGGCCCGCAGGGAGGGGGGTATGCGCTCGGGGCTCCGGGCTGGGTCCCACGAGGACCCTATGTCTGAGTTCCTTATCGTCGAGCCATAGACAGTCCCTACCATCGTCCCTCCCTCTGGACCTTCAAATAGCAAATTGCTTCCTTCAGGATCCGCTCAGCTCGGGGTTCTGGCGGCTCAGCCAGGGGCCTGGAGCCTGTCCGACCGCCTGCGGGACAGACGTGCAGACAGAGGAGGCGCTGGTTTCCTCCGTCAGGTGTCAGGAGGCAGGATGGGGTCTGTTAGTGCAAAGCTCCATTGTCTGCCTTCCTCGCGAGCTGGGGCTGGGAGCCCGCTCGCTGGACAACGGGCCTCCCGCGCGAGGCCTTTCCATCCTGTTGGGACGAATGGTCAGGTGGCAACAGGAACTCTGGGCTCAAAGAGATGATTCCTCGCCCTCAGAAAGAATTCGTAATCCAACGTGTTGAGAGTTTTAAGAGAATCACAGGAAGAAACAGGTTTTCGTTTGTTTCCCCGCCTGGGTCTCTCTTCAGAGGAAGGTGCTGGATCGCGGCCCTGGTCCTGGTCAGGCCGGTCAGGGCCTGTCCCCTGGAGGGAGGGACCAGAGGGCTGGGCAGGTAATGGGAGCCTCTGTCTTCCGTCTGAGCAGCAGCCTCCTGAGCCCTGCAGGGCCGGGGATGGGAGGGGTGGGGTGGGCGTGTGTGCGAGGTGCGCTCACTGACTTAAGCACAGTCCTCCGCTCCTCACAGCACTGCTCCGGAGTCAGGGTCCAGAGCTACACCCTCTGGCTTCCTCCTGCCCCAGGGCCAGATTCCCACCCCAGCCTCTCCCCAGGTGTCCGGAACCACCCAGAAGATGGAGGTGGACCTAGAGCGGCACCTGGCCCGGCTCAGCGAGATCTTCGCCGCCCGGAGCGATTACCTCCAGACCCTGAAGTTCATGCAGCAGAGGGCGGACAGCGTCATCGACCAGCTGTCAGGGGTGCCCGTGTGGACGGAGGTCACAGCCCAGCTGACCCAGCTGGCCGACCAGACCGGCTACGTGGAGTACTACAGGTGAGGGGCCCGCGGGGGCTGCACTGGCTTCCTTCTTCCGAGCCTGCGTCCTGGGCCCTGGCAGGGAGGTGCCCCAAAGGTCTTCATGAGCCATTAGCTGAAGTGAGAGAACATGAGAGCTCGCAGGGCGAGTGCTGGGCCTTAGACCAGCCTCCTGAGACAGACAGGCGCCGAGGCCCGTGAGGGCGGTGCTAAGCCAGGACCCAGCGTGGACCTCCCGGTACACAGCATGGGGCTCCCGGGACCAGCATGCTCCCTGGCTGCTGCTGGGTCAAGTGCAAGTGGTTGACAGTTCCTCACCTGCCATGGTGTGTGGGGCAGGGGGCCAGGGACATGGGGGCCTCTTTGCCTGCACGGAGCCTCCCCTGATGGCAATGTCTTAGCAAGCCCAGAGGTGCCCCCAGCTGGAGTGGTGGGGGCTGGGGGACACCACCCCCCCCCTTTGCCATACTCGGGTGCAAACTCATCCCTACGTCACCTATTCTTTGGGGGCCCGTTTATGTCTCCCTGCCTCCCCATTCCTCAGACCCCATCCCAGGTGAGGACGCTGGGCACTGGTCAGCTGAAGGGTCTAGTGAAGGTCACTCTGGGAGAGCCAGGGAGGGTGGCAGCCATCTGTCTGGCTGGGTGTCTCCTGGCTGAAGGTGGCACCCACTCATGAAGTCACTGCACCCAGGCCCAGCACGGAGGAGGCTCGAGGGCAGAACAGATAAATGAACCCTGACCAAGAAGTGTCAGCTCTTTGGACCTCCTCCCCCCCAAGTCGTTGACTCCTTTTCAAGCCATTTGCAAAGGTCAGAGCCTTTAGCCCAACATTGCACAATTTACTCTGGCTTTCTGGATTCGTTTCCCCTTTGTGGGAAAGCCCCACCCCAGGCTGAACGAAGCCAGAGACCTCCCTGCCCTGGGCTCTCGCCTGCCCGGGGTAAGAGATGGCAGGGCCCTGCTGAGAGGCAACACATGAGGTCTTGGCTCCAGATAGCGAAGTTCCCCCCACCCCCACCCCTCCGCTCAGCAGCTGCCCAGCCAGCCCCTGCACTAGATGGGTGATGGTGTGCAACAGCGCCTTTCTCCCAGGTGACGGAAGGAAACTGCCAACTCTGAGGACTGGCTGTGACCCGTGACCCCAAACAGTGACCTCTGAGAGACAGTCATTGCTGAGCCTTCGCAGTCTTTTTGTCACGTGGGGTCAGGAGGGGTAGGGCGCAGGCGTCCATTGTGACCTGCCGTTCTCTGAGAGGACCTAGCAGAGGACCTCGTGCACTCGAGGGCCTGACATGGGCATTTTGATAATGACAAGGATGAAATAAGTCAGAATTTCCATATCTAATTTAAGGTAATTTTATTAAAAATGGGAGAGGAGGGTGGTGCCAACTGCACAGAAGCTATTTCAATCTGGGTGATTGACAGGGACCCCTAGAACTCCCGTCCCCAACTCCCACCCCTTGTCCGGGTCTGGGCAGCAAAGGTCTCCTCCCAGGTTAGCGCCTGCAGCTCCTGAGCCCTGAGGATGACCTGTCCCCTGTCCTCACCCCTTCCCTCACCCGAGCGGCTCTGGGCGCACTTTGTCTGTTCTTGGCCTAACCGGCCTTAGGGCTGGGGCTCCTCCAGGCACCTCCCCATCTCCGCTTTCCGGGTGGTGTAGAGCCCGGCCATCCAGCTCAGCAGACATTTCTTAGCTCCTATACAGGCCTAAGCACTGGAGGCATGAAAGGCCTGCACGGGCGACCCGCTCCAAGAGGCTCCGAGAGGCTTCTTGTACCCGAGTGAGCAGAGGAGTGAACGCGCGGAGGCCGGGTGTGGGAGGGGCCCTGGGAGTAAGGGCTGGCAGCTGGCAGCTTCTTGGGGAGCCACAAGCCACGTTCTTCGTTGGAAATACAAACCCAGGTCATCCCCCAGCTCCTCTGGGAAATGCATCCGCCTCGCAGAGCTGTTTCCGGGAACTGCATACGGCATGAGGTGTGGCTGCAGAACGAGGGGTTGAAGCTGGGTCCTGGAGAGTGAGCTAGAAGCAATCCGAACTTGATTTCCTGCTGATGGGGAGGGAAGCCACAAGAAACCTTTTGGTTTGAAACATGAAACCAGGGCTTTGAGAGGGGCCTGGTGGCTG